TGTGTGCTCCTGGCACAAGTAGCTAATTTTGTTTTCCAATTTACATCAGGAAGATTAAAGTCACCCATGATGATAACTTCCCCATTCATTGTCATTTTAGCTATTTCCTCAACTAGTTGATTATCTAACTCTTCTATTTGTCCTGGGGGCCTATAAATCACACCTACACGAGTTACTGTGTGATTACCAAATTCTAACGTAACCCAAACGGACTCTATGTTTGCCTCACTAACTTTTATTAGGCTAGATTTTATGCTATCTTTCACATACAAGGCCACCCCTCCCCCTTTCTTGCCTTCCCTATCTTTCCTATATAAAGAGTACCCTGGTATTGCTATGTCCCAGTCATTTTTCGCATTATTATACCAAGACTCCAAACGACAGCGCAACCGCAAGATTCGGAGTGTCCCTGAGGACGTTACAGAATGTGAAACCCCTCACTACCTCCGCCGCCTACTAAACAACGTACTAACACCATCTAAAGCTAAAGCGATTTCGCTGGACAACTACTTCAGGATCCCAAAACCAGCTAAGGCCCCAGACGGGGCTCCAAGGGACTCTAGTCTATTGCAATCCATTTAAATGTTATATGTGCTTACTACCTAATGTTCTTGCTAATATGCTTCCAATCGCTGCACAGTAAGCAGCTGGTACAAGCAGCCGTCCGCGCACACCTTCGTACCATTTCAAGGAGCCAACCTCACCTTCTTTAACGACCTGACTAGATCCACCATGGTCTGGCAGCAATCCCTACGTCCAGTCACCCAGCACTTGAGAAATCACGAGGTGGTATACCGCTCGGGTCCCGGCCGCAAACTTACTGTGTTTCACAACAGGAGGAGAATCCAGCTACAGCAATAATCAGATGCGGGGAAATTCTTCAAGGCACTGGGGCAGCCTACTCCAGCGGCCCTTCAGGCATACACTCCAGATGCGGACCCCCAACCATCGACCCAGATGTGGGACGTGAGTAATGTCCAACCCTTCTACCCGAAAGCCAGACCTACAGCAGTGGAGTCGAACCTGGTCAGCACTTGAGATACGTTTCTGGCACAGAGACAGTCCTTCCAACTAACTCTTGGACGCTCAGATCACTAATATAACATGTCTCTAGTCTATTGCAATCCATTTAAATGTTATATGTTCTTACTACCTAATGTTCTTCCATGCCTGCTCTCACCTGAGACTCAACCTTCTTCCCCCCTCCCCTCCCCCCATTGAAAGAATACCTTAGAGTATAGGCTACTTGTCTTAAAAAGTGCAATGTTAAAATGAAAAGACTTAGGCCCATGATGGTACACATCGTATTCTAGAAGTTACTAGTCGTATTAGTAATGATATTAAATCATATATACCAAAGAATGAAAAGTAATATAAAATTAAATAAACACAAATTAGTAATGGTTAGTATGTCTATTCTTACCCAATTTGTTTTGTTAGTACACATCATAACAACAGAAAATAAAAATAAAATAATTTAAAAATATAATCGAATTATTAATAAAAATAAATATAAAAAAGTAAAATGAAAATAGAAAAAAAAATATATAATGAATCAAATAAACAATCATAAAAAACAAATCATATTAACATTTAAACCATTGTGTTGTAGGGTTTGTAATCTATGAATACAGAAGCCTTCTCTCCTCCTCATTTTCATCATAAGGTCCCCCCCTCTCTCGTCCAATTCCACCTTTTTAATTGCTATACGTTAAAAATTATTTTCTTTAAACTTTGGACACTTGGTGCAGTTATTAGGTACAGAGTGATTATCTTTTCCTTTCTTTATGTCGTTCATATGTTCTATAAACCTAATTTTTAATTTTAATTTTCCTCCCAACATGGAGGTATACTACATGGGTTGTAGAGCATGTGATATTTTTAATTTTAAAACATTCTCCAGTTTGATTACTCATAAATTAAATAGTTTTTAGGGAGGTTTTGGCAACCTTTACTCTTTCCACAAGTATAGAAACCTTTTTTCATAGGTTCTTGTTTTCAACTATTTATTTCTGAAGATGCTCGGTGCCCAAAAAAATTTCAGTTGTTACTTTAAAAAAATAATAATATGGGGGCGTGGCCTAACACCCGAGCCGCATGGACGTGCTCTGCTAGAGCTCCGGGGAGCCGCATGATACAGGGGAGAAAATAACCGGGCTGCAACAACTAATCTCGGCACGAACCGAGTAGAAAACGGAGCTATGTCCCACAGATCCGCCAAAAGACCGGCGAAAGCCGACAAAGCGATGTTCTTCATGGCAAAAGCCGCGCATGGGAAACAAGGCCGCGAGGAAACCCAAGATGGCGGCGGCCACGGATCCAGGGAGGTTTCTCCATCTCCTCCCTCCTCACCCACCTCATTACTAGAGGATAGTCCCCTCACACTGGCCACAATGAAGTCCTTTATGGCAGACTTCACAACACAGATCCAAAGCACCATTGAGGGGCAGCTCAAATCACTGGCAGGTGAGCTTAAGAGAGATATACAGGACCTGGGCCTACGCACATCTAGAGAATGCAGTCAGCAAACATGCCTCCGCGCACAACAACATGGCTGACCAGCTACACCAGATGCAGCAACTCATCCAAGAACAAAACCTGAAACTTGCTGACCTGGAGGATAGATCCAGGAGGAATAATCTGCGCATCAGAGGTATTCCTGAATCAATCACAAATGAAGCCCTACACAGCTACCTCCAGACCTTTTTCCTGGAACTGATTCCAGAGGTCCACCCAGATCAAGTAGTTCTGGACAGAACGCACAGACTCAGGAGACCCCAGCATCTGCCTACTTCAACGGCCAGAGATGTAATCACCAGAGTGCATTTCTTCCATATCAAGGAGAAGATTGTTAAAGCAGCTAGAAAAGATAACCTACCCTCCCAATATGAAAACCTGAAGATTTTCGCGGACTTGTCAGCGCACACACTCCAATTCCGCAAGTCACTCGCTCCTATCACCACCGCACTGAGAGCGCAGGAGGTTCCGTATCGGTGGGGCTTCCCAGCGAAACTTATCGTCCACCACGACAACTCCAACCACCCTATCACGTCAGTGGAAGAAGGCTTGAAGAGGCTGGAAGACTGGGGGCTCCCCAAACCGGATGTACCGGTGCAACACGCGAAAAAGATACCAAGACTGTCGGTGGACTGGTCCAGAGCCTAACGTGAAGGCTGAGTATACGCTGCATGATTGCCGAACCACTGTTTTACTAACCGCTTTAATTTAATGTTGTGTCACCGCTCATTTGCTACCCTGAAATGGGCTTGTATAATACTTATTGTTGTGTGCACCACCCACTATGCATAACACCGCAGCAGCATTTAGTTGACGGCTAGAATAGGCGCTGCCCAATAGCACTCACACCCCAAAACTCCGCACCTGCTCCGGGTAACAGAGCACAGACAGAGCAGAGCATTGACACAAAGTGGTTGAGTGTCCTGCAGCAAGGTCTCTCACAACCCAATACTCCCGTGCCAATATCACTCCATGGTCCCCTCTGAGCGACTCCTTATCCCCTCCCCCAACCAAGGTCATTACCACATCAGACTGACCTATAGCCACGTCACCCACTACCTGTGCCCAGTTTTACTGAGCACATTATAGCTCAAGAGACTTGAGCTCTTTGTAACTTGTTCTTAAATGTTCCCCCTTGTTTCTTCTACTCCCACCCCCCTCCCCCCACCAAGTTGGATTTCGATCAACCACAACACTGGGTTCCTCACCACAACTCTTATTGATATGTACTGTGATAATATTTACTGCACGCTGTCCATCACACGTCTACATAGGTGCTCTCACTATGGGAGCCAGGAGTCACCACCCACTCAAAATCTAACACTCTATTATGAAAATAGTCTCCTATAACGTGAAGGGGCTTAACTCCCCGACTAAAAGAAGCCTACTATTTCAGACGCTCAGACACCAACATATAGATATAGCGTGCATCCAGGAAACTCATTTTAAGTCCTCCACGGAACCAAAGTTATTCGCTAAACACTATCCTACTCAATTCCATGCCCGGTCGGCCAACAAAACGAAAGGGGTGTCAATTCTCATCAGCAGAGACATAGCTCTGGAGATCCAGAGCCAATACATTGACCCGCAAGGGAGGTTTATTATATTAGTGGGCCTTTTTAATGCCACACAATACACACTAGTTACGGCCTACTTTCCCAACTCCGACTCGACAAATTTCTTAAACAAACTTCTTCAGACTGTGGAGGACCACCGACAGGGAGGCCTAATTCTGTGCGGGGATTTTAACTTCATCCAGTCACCACAACTGGACACATCAGCTACACCATCCCGTAATAGGGGTAGACGCCTATCCAACACATGCAAAAGACTCACCACCCTGATCTCAAAACACGGCCTGTACGATGGCTGGAGGATCACACACCCCACGGAGAGGGACTACACGTTCCACTCCGCGGTTCATAACACCTATTCCCGCATCGACACATTCCTAGTAGATAGCAGGTCTCTGGCCCAAATGGCGGATTGTAAAATAGGCTCATTTGCTTGGTCAGATCATAGCCCAATTTATCTCACGTTACACGACGCGTTCCAATTCAAGGGGCGAGGGAACTGGAGGCTCAATGAGTCGCTACTATCTGACGACTCCTTTGCTACACTTATAAATGACGAACTAGAACACTTCTTCCGTCTGAATAGCGGGGGAGAGGTATCCGAAACCTCGGTTTGGCTAGCACATAAAGCGGTTATCCGAGGCCTATTCATTAAGAGAGCCGCACATCTAAAAAGACAGAGGCAGGGAGACCTACTCCGATGTCACGAACAAATAGCAACACTGACGGCTAGAAATAAAACCAACCCAAATACGGTACTGGCTGCGGAACTCCAGCAGGCCTACCGTAAACTACATGCACTGAACGCAACGAAAACTGAGTACTTATTAAACAGACTGAGAGCGACTACCTATCACTCGGGTGGGAAAGCCAACAAGTACCTGGCAGCAAGACTGCGAGATAAACTGGCAACTAATAAGATAGCGCACATACTGGGGGAAGATGGGACAAAAAAGCTAGGACCCCAAGAGATTGGTGACGCGTTCGCCACATTCTATTCCAAACTGTATAACTTGAGGGACGACCCCGATACACATACCCCCACTGTAGATGAGGTAAAAGCATTTCTCGCCCGCATCAAACTGCCCCGACTATCGAGTAGCCAAATCGAAACCCTAACATGCCCCCTCACCGTGAAAGAGATATTAGACACTATCAAAGAGTTACCGAATGGCAAGTCCCCCGGAGCAGATGGGCTCTCAAACCTCTATTACAAAAAGTATGCCCAAACATTGGCACCACACCTGCTGGAAACCTTCCACCAGGCGATGGAGAGGGGAGCATTGCCGGCAGAAATGCTGCGGGCCACTATAGTGACTCTGCCGAAACCCGGAAAACCGACTGACCAATGCAAAAACTTCCGCCCCATCTCCCTGCTCAACACAGACGCTAAACTGTATGCAAAAATCCTGGCAAACCGGTTTGCCCCCATACTACCCTCCCTTATCAAAGATGACCAAACAGGCTTCGTAAAAGGAAGACAAGGCCTGGACAACACTCGGAAACTGTCGGTGGTCCTCCAGCAGCTCAGGGGGGCCAGAGAGGGCGGTCTCCTGCTAGCGCTGGATGCCGAAAAGGCGTTCGACCGCCTGGGCTGGCCCTTCCTCCAAGGGGTATTGGAGGCATATGGGGTCCCGCTCCAGGTGTGCCGACAAATATTTGCACTCTATGCGAATCCTTCGGCGCAAGTGCTCCAGTCGGGATTCCTCTCCTCTCCCTTTCAGATCACAAATGGTACGAGACAAGGGTGCCCACTCTCCCCATTGCTGTACGTCCTGGCCCTAGAACCTTTGTTGGAAGAGATCAGAGCAAATGAGGAAATCCATGGGGTTAAGATAGGCCACAAAGTGGTTAAGGTAGGAGCTTTTGCAGATGACATTCTACTCTACCTGACACATCTCCACACCACACTCCCAGCAGTTATGCAACTGATAAATGAATATGGGAGGGTGTCCTACTACTCCCTCAATACATCCAAGACCCAAGCACTAGGCATATCCCTACCGACCAAACTCACCACACAACTCCAACGGGAATATACGTTCGAATGGAGGTCTGATACTATCACATATCTAGGGATTACATACACGAAGGCCCACACTGCACTATTCGCTGCAAACTATGTGGCAACATGGAACAACTGCCGTAACTTACTCAAAAAATGGTCACCACTATATCTGTCCTGGACCGAAAGAATTATAACGATAAAAATGTCAATCCTCCCTAGGTTGCTCTACCTGTTTCGTACCTTACCAATAGAACTCCCCAGATCCTTCCTTAAAACGGTCCAATCAGACATAAATCAATTTGTATGGAAGGGGAGCAAACCCAGAGTGGCACAGAATTTACTAAACGCACCCAAACGAGATGGGGGCCTAGCACTACCTAATGTACACACGTATTACTACGCAACTGTTATCGCCACTGCCCTCCCACATTTCCTCCAGACACCACCACCGCAGTGGGTACACCTAGAACGAGAGTTGGTGGCCCCTCACACACTGGCCGACGTGATATGGATACCAAAAAAGTACAGACCGCAGTGGCCCCTAGCACCACACTCGACTACTTTACTTTTACGGCTCTGGGACAAAAATGCGACACTGTTTAGCGGCCACAAGGGGTTCTCCCTGGCAACACCGATAAAGTCTTTCACATATTGCATCCCCACTTTCCACGCCATACCATGGCAGACCCGGGGTGTCACCCACCTGACACATCTGTACAATCAGGGCAAAATGCTTAGCTTTGAAGAGCTGCAAATCCGATACTCACTGCCTCCTACATCACACTACTCCTATATCCAACTACGGTCGTTTCTGACCAAACACTACTGTAAAGATGCTGGGCCCAATTTGACCCCAGAAACCCCAACGGGGTGGGAGTTAATGCTTATTAAGGGACTACTACCCATTACATGTAAACCGATCTCCATGAGTTACAAGCTCCTGTCACGCCATCTACCCTTTGCTGCCTCAAAAACAGCGCAAATGTGGGAAGCGGACCTAAACTGCTCCCTCCTGAGCAAAGACTGGGAGCGCATATTCCGTTTGCCCAGGCTCCTGATCAAATCAGCCGCCCATCTGGAGCAAAGCCATAAAACATTATATAGATGGTACATGGTACCGTGCAGGCTGCACAAACTATTTCCGGCCACTTCTAATACCTGCTGGCGCTGCAATGGGGCTGAGGGCACGGTCCTGCACGTCTGGTGGACGTGCCCCCGCATCCAGACCTTCTGGGCGGGGGTCCATAAAATTGCACAAGCGGCGTCTGGCTGCTCTATTCCTTTTGCGCCCCGTCAGATGTTAATAACTGACCTCCCGAAAAGCTTACCCAGAGCCAAGCAAAAACTCCTGTTACATATAATGTTAACAGCACAGCGCTTAATTGCTCAACACTGGAAACAAACAACTACCCCTGGTATGAAACGGGTCATTGAGGACCTGGACACACAAAGAACGTTTGAAACGAGCTTCAAAACATTGTTCCCCCCATCCAGCACCACTCAAGCAGCATGGGAGATGTGGAACTCATGGAGATCGGGTGATAGCGAAACGTAAATGTAACCTACCAATGATACTGTATGTACAAACCACATAAGAGCAGAAGCGCCTCGCACATCAGTGGGAAACAGCGCAAGAGGTGCGAGAATAGAGAGCAAGGATGGGACCTCTCCTGTTAGCTCCCATAAGGGATCGAGTAGAGAGCACACCCACCCCACTCTGACACACAAAAGGTGCAAGACAATGTTTCTGGTCGCAAACCGACTACGAACGGTATAAGTAGCCTGAATACTCATGGTCAACTGAATGAGAGTTGTTAATATGTATTGATGAAATCCGTTCACCCTCCCCCCCCCTACCCTCCCTCCTTCTTCCTTTCTGTACCCCCACCGCACGAAACAATAAAAATTGTCAAATTTAAAAAAAATAATAATAATAATATCAGGTTCAGGAGGTAATATGGACTAAGATAACATCCTCTAAAAGAAGAGACCAGTGTTTTTCAACCCTTTCCTGAATAGCCGGATTGTGAAGTGCCTGCAGGGGGCCTGCCTGAGCTCTCAGGCAGTCCCCCTAATGCCTGCACAAAAAGACTGGGAACGTCGAGTGCTGGGACCTGGAAATATATATATATATATGATCTAAGTACTTCTACATGCACATAAACACACATACACCATTATTAAAAGTGTATTTTAACATAAAAAAAAAAAAAGGACAAGAAATGCAAACTTAGGGGTCAATTACAACTTGACCCCAAAGTCCGCAATACAGAAGGACTATGTGGGTAAAAAAGGTCATAAACCCTGAGTTAGTTAATTATAAAGAAAAGAAGGCCCACCATTATTATTATTTTTTCACTTTTATATTTTGTTTAGAGATGTCCAATGACATTTTAAATAAGACTTAATAAAGATATGTTTTTATGCTATACTTTATATTGTGTGACCCTTGAGTCACCTTTATCACTGTGGGTATTCCTGGGTGGATCTTTAGAGGAGGCCTTCTTTTTTTTCTTTTTTTTATATATATATTAATTATATATATATTACTATTAAAATACACTTAGAATGACGTTAATTTTATATATATATATATATATATATATATAAACTATTGGGAAAAAAATTATAAAGCGGTTTCAATTTGTTCTAACTGTATTTCCATATTAATATGACAGTGCCACAGTGCCATGTGATCACCACATTTTTAATACTCTAGGTTTTCTACATTTGAAAATGGTATGCTGTAACCGAGTAAACTTGCAGAAGCCAGACACAGAGAAATGGATGCAGGTTTTCAGGAAGTAAGAGGTCTTTATTAACATACCGATCGGGCCTCAGATGAACTAACGTTCCAAAACAGGTCTGAGAGCCGAACACATGGAGTACATGCTTTTTATAGAACTATAACTCCTCCCATTAATAGCTCCACCCGCACTTACCCTTATCCACTCAGTGGACAGGATTTGGATTTCCTCATATGGGCAGACCACATGGCTCATCCAAAACAAAGGAGAAAGGAGTGTAATTTCAGTTCCTGCATTCCTGCACATGCTCAGTACATTGATGACAGTATCTTAGCTACGTGTAACTAACTAACTGATACAACATACACATATGCCACGTGGAAATCTCGGCCTACTAAATTTACATTTGACCGAAATTCCATCACATTCCCCCCTTTGATGCCTCTGATACAAAATTATTCCAGATGCATCAGCAATCATAGTTTACAACACCTCTCAAGTAGCCACTGGACCAGAACAGACCTTTTAAGCATCTTAGCATCATCACAAACTCCTTCAGCATTCCTCATCCTGAATATGTTCTCTTTGAGCTAGGGATTCATATCTATAGACAGCCATTACATGAGCAGCTGTCTTTCTTTCTATAGTACTCTCTATGATACTACGTATAGGTCTGACCACTAATGGAATTAGGCAGGGCAGAAAGAGACATAAGAATATAATAAATACTACTCCTCCTACTAATGCCATAATCCCTCCAAGCTGCTCATACCAACTTCCAAACCAACTACTAGGATTATACCCATTCCAGACCTGAGTAGGTACATGCGTCAGTTTAACCATGTGGTTTGTAAGTTCAGCCACTGCCCGCCCTTCATCATCTATGTGCAAACAACAGTTGCTGAGATTAAACTTTCCGCATACACCTCCATCTACTGCTAATAGGTAGTCCAGAGCTAATCTATTTTGATAGATGGCTGATCTCATCCGAGTATTTTGCTTAGCTAGAAGATTAAGTGCTTGAGCTGTCTCATTAGTGATAATCTCAACCACCACCTGCAGTCTTATAGTACGGTTGAGCATATATATTGGGGTTCTATACCCATAGGTACCATCTTCTGCCCAAGTAGCAGGTCCATAATAATTAATAATGCGTTGGGGAGGCTACTCATCATCTTCCCAGCTACCTATATTCAAGGATGCTCGCTTCTTTTTATGCTTTACATCATAAACCTTAACTCCCAAGGTCTCTCCTGTCTCAATTGGCAACAAGAAGAAGGATGGTTTGAGCATACCTAATACACATGCCCCTTCCCAATCTTGTGGTAACTCTGAATATGCTTTCTTACCACAGATCACCCAAATAGTTTTCCAAACTTATCAATAAAATGTTGTGGATTAGAGATGGTCATATGGACAGGATTACATTCCATAGACTTACAGTGTGGTGTAGTGGGCAACCTTTGGATAATTATATCTTGATTCACTGTTTTTCCCCAGGTCGCCCACCCTACACAAGACCAATATGGACAAAAATTAAAATCCCTATTTGGGCAATCAGGGTCAGTAGATCTCTTACTTTGACATAAATATTTATCATTAAACCCATAAGTTCGTTCCCATTTAAGATTACCACATACATTCCAAGGTTTTCCACTACCAGAGATCGCCTTACATGCATCAAATAGTAGAATGCCCGTAGAATGTATGGTATTTATCACAGTCCAATTTATCAAGGTCCCCTGGGAGTTACTGTTCCGAATTACCAACCAAATTGTACGGGGTTGGAATTGGGGATCAAAACATTTAGGCACTCCTGATATTGGTTTGCACACACTGTAATCTATATCTAAATATCTACACTTAGATACAGATCCCCTACACTCATACTGTGAGTGCCAAATGAGAGTTTGGGATATTTGGTTACCTGTTTTTGTAGTCTTAATGCAGCTAACACACCTCTGTATGTCCTCACCTTTACCTTCCTGAAAAATCACAAAAATGCCTAAACACATAATTAAGTGTTCTTGCATAGCAAGACCACTTAATGTTATCTCACATATATATTATTAAGTGTTCTTGCATAGCAAGACCACTTACTATTATCTCACATATATATTATTATTAAGTGTTCTTGCATAGCAAGACCACTTAATGTTATCTCACATATATATTATTAAGTGTTCTTGCATAGCAAGACCACTTAATGTTATCTCACATATATATTATTATTCTTATTAAGTTTTCTTGCACAGCAAGACCACTTATTGTTATCTCACATATATATTATTAAGTGTTCTTGCATAGCAAGACCACTTAATGTTATCTCACATATATATTATTATTATTAAGTGTTCTTGCATAGCAAGACCACTTAATGTTATCTCACATATATATTATTATTATTTAAGTGTTCTTGCATAGCAAGACCACTTAATGTTATCTCACATATATATTATTATTATTATTATTATAGCAAAATTTACCACCCTAACTCCTCCCACAGTTTTTGTTCAAGCATAGACAAAAAAATTTACCAAAACGCGGCAGATTGTTCCCATCGATTGTTATTACTTTGTGGAACGTTTCGCCGAATGTTTCACGGAATATCGTCGTTCTTGTGGCGAAATTTGTCCCATAGGAATGAATGGCAAGCTAGAGTGGGAGCTGGCAAAAGCTGAAAAATCAGGACATGATTTCTAAACTGCCACCACTCCCTTATTTTCAGGCCCACCTACAAAAATCTTATATCAAAACGTTCAGCTATCCCTGCTGCCACTAAACATGTCAACGGCTAAGCCATAGTCCTGATAGTTTTCACAATATAATCATTTGTTTGCAACTAATGCCGTCCATTGACATTCATTGAAACCGCACTCTACAAAGCTCAAATTTGAAGTGCAATTTCTAAACTGCGACTGTGCCTTCATTTTTAATACTTCAGAGACATAATATGCATCAAAATGTAGGTCTGGGTCTTGTGATTCTCACAATATAAAGCTCTTCGCTGTAGGATTTATAGTTTTTAAAATACGACCGTTTGAAGATGGCAACAGCCAAAATACTCTGACCTGTGCCAGGCTGCAGCAGCAAGTGATGTCATAGACTTTTGAACACCTGCTAATGTTTTTATAAATGTATGGTTTAATGTAACTGTGCAGCAACGTTGCAATTAAATGTGCTATGTAAATGATAACAGTTACTCCGCCCACTCCAGTTGTAGACTACAGGTGGAGGCAAGAACACTTCACACA